GGGGAGGGGAAGGAAAGAGAGAAAAGAAAAAGTGAGGTTGGGAGGAAAGGCCTTGGATTAGGCCCCGAAAGAGATGGCCATTTGGCATATGGATAGCACTTAACTTTTTCAAAGCCTCTCGTCCAGATGAAAGGCAGTAGAGGGTAAAGCGGTGGGGACACTCGTCCACCCTCCAGGGGAAGCCAGGGCTTAGCAAGTGCGGCCAGTGGGCAGTCCCCACCTCCCAGGCCCAGCCCGGGGTGGGCACTGACCCCGCCACCAGCCGGCTCCGGGCGCCGACGGCCCAGCTGCCGCAGCATCTCCTCGCAGGCGGCGATGGTGTCCAGGAGCTGCCGCTGCCGCTGCTCCACGGCGTCCAGCAGCTGCTGGGCGCGCTCATCCCGGGGCGGCTGCGGGGGTGGCCTCCCGCCGAGCCCCAGCCCCGCCTTCCCACGGTCCACGCCGGCAGCCTCCCTGCCCGGGAGAGAGCGAGACAGACGGTCAGGGCCGGCGCTTGCGCCGGGTCAGAACCCCTTCCCCCCGCCCCGACGGGCCCCCTCTCACCCCCGTGACCAGTCTGAGCCCGGGCCCCATTCCATCTCCGCCTGCGCGGCCCGACCACCGCCCCCCTTTCGGCCCCCCCCCCCCCCCGCCCCCAGCGCTGCGCTAGGGCTCCGCAAAGCAGCGCCCCGCCCCGTCCCCACCGGTCTCCTTCAATCCTCCTGGGGGTCGCGGTCCCTTTAAGTTGCCCGGCGCGGAGGTGGGGCCGAGCCTCCTGGACCGGAAGATGACTGGACGCGTCACTTCCTCCCGGAAGCGGGCCTAGGCGGATGTCTCCGGCACGTCCGTGCAGGGGGCTGAGGGCCGCGGTGGCTGCCAGCATGGGGTTGAGCGAGGGGCCGGCGGGCTCAGCCCGGAGCGGGCGCCTTCTTCGCCCGCCAAGCCCGGCGCCGGGGGCCCGGCTGTTGCGGCTCCCGGGGAGCGGGGCCGTGCGGGCCGCAAACCCGGAGCGCGGCGGCTGGACCGAGGCGCTGCGGGCCGCCGTGGCCGAGCTGCGCGCCGGCGCCGTGGTGGCCGTCCCCACCGATACGCTGTACGGCCTGGCCTGCTCGGCGAGCTGCTCGGAAGCACTGGGCGCCGTGTACCGTGTCAAGGGCCGCAGCGAGACCAAGCCGCTGGCCGTTTGCCTGGGCCGCGTGGCCGACGTCTACAGGTGAGGCCGCCCCGACCCGGCCCCAATGGGGGCGGCACCGCGGGAGGGGTTTCCGGTGACAGGCTTGGGAGACTGAGGCGCAGATAGCGGGAGGGGCTTGTCCAGGCTCACCCAGGAATCCGGAACTGGAAATGTGTATGGAGCAGTTAGCGTCTGCCAGGCCTTGAACGTGATCGGGGACTCGGCGCTGAAAGAGGCAGGCGGAGGCCCTATTCTCCTGGCGTTTTTTGTGATAATGGGTTGGGGGTACTCCTACGGCTTAAGAAGAAAGGAGAGGGAGCACGGTAGCTTAAATTAACAGAGGGAGTACTTTGAAGAGAATAAAACTCGGAGCGCGGTAGCGGTGCAGCTGTTGTAGTCTCCCAGACCAGAGACCTGTGGGATCCAAGCCTGGGGTGCTCCTCTGGAGCCCTGCCTTCTGCTCAAGCTCTTGGGGGTGAAAAGGGAAGACAGGCGGATCCCACTGTAGCCCCTCAGGCCGCCTTTCCTGGATCTTCCTAGGTTCTGGGACAGGACCAGCGGTACCTTTCATCTGGTTGGGTTTGCGCCCCCTTTGTTTCCCAGGTACTGCCATGTGAGAGTACCCGAGGGGCTCCTGACGGACCTGTTGCCAGGACCAGTGACCCTGGTAATGGAACGCTCAGAGGCGCTCAACAAGGACCTGAATCCTTTCACTCCTGTGAGTCAGATTTTCTCTTGTGTCCCCAGACTCCTGCCGTTGGCTTTCACTAGGATCCAGGCAAGGCCCATTCCCCACCCCTTCCAACCTTTTTATGATCCCCTTTCTCCTTGCCTCATAGCTTGTAGGCATCCGGATTCCTGACCACGCCTTCATGCAGGACTTGGCCCAGGTGTTTGGGGGGCCACTCGCGCTCACCAGTGCCAACCTCAGCTCCCAGTCCAGCTCTCTGAATGTTGAGGTGAGAGTAAACCCAGTCCTCCCTGCAGAAACATCAGCCAGGCCACAGTTTCCTCTGAAGAGGGGTACGGGGGGAATGATGGTTCACTGGAATTGCCTGGCAGGAGAGCCACCCTTTCGGTTTCATAGTAGGAAGTCTGCCCATTTGGCAGGGGTGGGAGAAATCCAGAATAACCTCAGAAAAGTTTTAAAGTTGGAGAATCAAGGGGGAGAATCGATTTTTCTTCCCCTTAGTGTCTTTTTAACAATAACAGACATCATAAGTATGTTCCTTCCCCCCCCCAGCAGAAGACTGAAAAGTTAAGTCACTTATCCCAGGGACTCCTTTTTCTGTTCTCTTAGCTCTGCCACAAGCTAGGTCATTTAACAGTTCAGTCCACAGCTCTGAAGGGAAACTCCTTTCCACAGCCCAGGGGTTGAGTGCCAATGGCATGCACTTGCTGAGTCCACCTGTTTCTCTTTGCTACCCTGATCCAGAGTTCTGCTGAGATTCAGGATTAGAGTGGAGAGACCAGAGTGACCATCCAGTCCAGCCAGGATAAAATAACTTGCATACAGTCACACAGAGTTTGGTGGAAAGTCAAGGGTAGAGCCCACAGCTTTGGATTCCCACCGAGGTCTCCAGTCATTTTTCTCCTCCCTCCCAAACTGAAGCAGTGTGTGAAATTTCCTCTTGCCATAGCAAGATTGTCTTTAAGCTCTCAATAGGTGCTCCTTGGGGTGCTAATGTGGGGAGCTCCACACCTCATGGGATGCGGTATCCGGGGTACAAATGCAGTGTCTTTGTCACAGCTGACCCTGAATTTCCTTCCCCTGCTTAGAGGAAGATGCCTGCTGCTTTAGAGCTGTGTGGCCTCTGCCTATGTGCCCTGTTTGTGGTGTGACATTGCAGATGCTTCTCCCTCTTCTCAGGAATTCCAGGACCTGTGGCCTCACTTGTCCTTGATCATTGATGGGGGACCCATTGGGGATGGCCAGAGCCCAGAGTGTCGATTAGGCTCAACTGTGGTTGACTTGTCTGTGCCTGGAAAGTTTGGCATCATTCGTCCTGGTTGGTGAGTCTCTCTTTTTTTTTTTCTGTGGCACAGGGATAGGATTGGGGGGGGGGGGAGGTGTGAAATGCAATTTACAAAAGCGCCTTGACCAGGAAAAAAAGAAGTTGTCCCTCTTATCTTGCCCTGAGTGGGGTGGGAAGTTTGAAGAGGTGGTGGGTGGAGTGGAACTAAGTTTGCTAGTCGTTTCCTGGCTTTTTCAGGATTCAAAGGGTCCATCACGGGTTTGATGAACAGAGCATATTACAAAGAGTTTAGAGGTCCCTGATCTCCAGGCTCTGGTGGGCTCCGGGCTTTAAGAAGTCAAACCCTAATTTGTCCTCCATTTCCTCCCCAGTGCCCTTGAAAGTACTTCAGCCATCCTCCAGGAGTATGGGCTGCTCCCCTCACATGGATCCTGCTTGTGACACTCTGGAGGAGGGTGGGCCCAATGACTGGTGCTGGACACTATGTGTCCGACCGCTGGTAGCTGGCAAGGCCTCATTTGCAGAGGCTGCATAGAAATTTTAAGTCCATTCCTAGGATGGCCTGATTCGGTTAACAGATAGGTTTCTTCTTCCTTTGATTTTTGAAAAATAAATAACCAGTTTGCAATCTAATGAGAACCTCTTCTCTGGTGGATAGTGGCATTTAAGAGTCTCAAGTGACCAAAGGCACTTTGTGCTTCTGAAGCTGGAACCAGGTTAGGATAAAACCTGTGGAGCCATAGGCCAAACACTACTTCCTCTGAGCTAGGGCTGGTTCTGTGCTGTAATTGCCTGGCGGCAGAGTCATCATTTTGGTCTAATGATGGGAAGTAAGCTCAGTTGGGGCAGGGGGGTCCAAATAATTAAAGAATGTTGGAAAATCTCTGCTGTTCTTTTTAGCCACTTTTTTCTTATTTATTTATAATACAAATTATATAATGATTATACCTGTAATACCGTTATTTAAATCCAGTGTCTACTCCGCAGCTTTTATTTACATATATATATATCTCTCAAGTATTAAACATCATTATTGTTGGGCATTTGAACTTTGTTTTTTCTTTAATAGAAAAGAATGCTATTAAACATCTTTGTAAATGTTTTATTTTTCTTCTTTTGAATTATTTCCTTGGTGTAGGAGTACTGGGTCCAAGTATATGGACATTTTTATGGCTCTTGATACAGGTTAGCCTTCAAAAGAACTGAATCAAGTTGCATTACCATCAGCAGTGTGTGAGAACTACTGCCTCTTCCCCCTGGTCCGACTGTACTTTTAGTGTTTTTAAAAATGTGTATGTGTGAGATGAAGCCTCATTGTCACTCCTTGTAAATTACTCCAGGTCACCATCCAGCCCTTTTCACCTGTCTCTGCCTGCCTTGGTTTCCTTCCCCAACTGAATCACAGCAAGGGCACCAGGCCTGCCCAATCCACTGGTGGGATTTAGTACCTGTTACCTAACGGAACTGGGGAATCCTTCTGGTGACCAGTAGGGCCCACTTCCTTCCCTCCCCCCTCATATCCCAGTTCTCAGAATTGGGATTCAGTCTTAAGCCCATAAACTCAACACAGTGGTTTCGAATGCATGTTTTCAAGTAGATCTTAAGACTCTTGCCAAGAGGGTGTCCCAGGGCCTGCTTTGAGGATCCCTGCAATTAGCATATTAGTTTGTAAATAAGCCTTGGTTTGTTAAATATTCCCTCTAGAAGTCTTGTTGAAACTACTAATTTCTTAAGCAAAGTCGGCCTTTCCATTGTGTTAATATGGTACCAGCCCATCCCACTTGTCAGTTCATCACAGAATCTGACTGAGGGGTCAGAGTTTGTTAACCTGAAGGGAGCAAAAGGAAAGCTGACTGGAGGATAGGAACAACACGTCATATTTAATACAAATCACAGTAGCACTGAAAACGGCTCTAGTGAGTGGGCCTCATTCAATTCAGGCGGCTAATGGGGAGGGGGCTGTCCTAGCCCTCTCCTGGAGCTAAATACTCATCTAGGAAAGTGAAGGCTCTGGAGCACAGAGGTGTTTTCTTCGAGGAAAATGAAGTGAACTCCCAGCACTGGGGAAAGCTGCAAAAAGGAAAAACTCATAGCTGTGCTTAGGCACTAGCTACAAGGCCACACCAAATAAGGAATAAGGAAAGCTGGCTCCTATAAGTTTAGGAAGACAGGAGCCATTCCTGGTCCCTTTTTCCCCCAGCACCTGGCACGTGGTAAGGTGCTCGCCAAGGGTGTGTTGAATAAACGTGTGTGAATGCTCAGGATTATTTCTTGATAATCGGGTCTGGGAATCTACCGGGAAGAGCTTAAACCAAGAATTTTCCCTTTTGTAAAGTCTTAAGTATGGTTTCTTAACTTGGGGAAGACAGCCAATGTGGGAGGGAGGCCTGGGGAGGACGCAGGCTGGCAGAAGAGCAGGTGCATGCTGGCCCAGAGCCCTGACACCCTTTTACGTGCAGTGACTTGGTGACTCCACAACACCAACCAGCTGAGTTCCAAGCTAGAAGGAGTTGTTTTAAAGTGTTGTGACTGGCGACGTGGAACTGCCTGGGGGTAAGTGCAGTCCCCTGCCAGCCCCTGGGGTTCCCACTCTGGAACACCCCCTAGTTTTCCGGTCCCTGCAGGACACCCACCTGCCTGAGGAACTAGCTCTGTTCCCCATGGGCCCTGACTTGATGGGCCCAGAAGCACCTAGCTGCTGACTTGGGAGCAAGTGCCTATAACCTCAGCTGAGCCCCGTGTGGTGCCATCTTCCAGAGAGGCTGGGATTTAGCACCTCCCACCCTGGCTTCAAGGTGCCTCACATCAGCCACTGCTCCTTCTCTTTGATGAAGTGCTCCGCCCAGCGGCGTGTCAGCTCCAGGTACAGGCTGGGCTGATGAGGCAGGTAGTCCAAATACAGCCGAGTCGGCGTCTTCTTGGGAATGGCCTTCTCAATCTGGGTGCCCTCGTGCCACTCGTTGAAAGAGGTGATAGAGACAATCTCGGGCCTCACGGTCAGGGCTGCCTGCAGGGCCGTCTCATAGTACTTGCCATTGACCCTGTTCCGCGTATTGTGGTTGTTCCAAGGCCTGATGCTGGTGTCAATGTAGCCAGGCCCCACGCTGGGAATGAACATGAGGTTGTTGGCATCGCAAAAGTTCTTCACAGCTTTCCAGTTCTGATGGGAGGAGCCGAAAGAGAAACCGTTGGAGGCGAAGTAGGTGTACATGCCATCAAATCCAGCGGCCAGGATGTCATGGGTGTGGCCCTCCTCCACCAGCAGTGCTATGAAGACCCCATCATAGGGGGTGTTGCGGATTGAGTGGGGCCCGCTTGGTGTCAGGAGGTGGGCCCAGGCTTCAGGGGATGTCAGGTAGGAGTCGTAGATATAAAAGAGTGGGAGGCTCTTACCCATGCTGTTCTTGTAGCGGTAAAATGCACCATGGGAGCCATACCTGAGGAGCAAGAAGAAGAAAAGGCTGAGCCAGCAGCCTAAGAGGAAAGAAGCCAGCACACCCAGAGGACTGGCCATGGATGAGAGCTTTCCTGATGCCCAAGCACAATTTTGGATCCAGCTGGACTCATCATGCCTCTAAGCAAGAACCCAGTCCTGCCCCTCCCCCCAGCCTTGTCATTCTTCTGTTCAAGCCTCACTTCCCTGTCCCAGGACTTCGCTGGGGGCTCAGACAGTAAAGCATCTGCCTGCAATGTGGGAAACCCGGGTTTGATCCCTGGATCGGGAAGATCCCCTGGAGAAGGGAATGGCAACCCACTCCAGTATTCTTGCCTGGAGAATTCCGTGGACCGAGGAGCCTGGCGGGCTACAGTCCATGGGGGTTGCCAAGAGTCTGAGTGATTAACACAACAAATTACAACCACTTATCCCAACCCCAGGCCAAGCTACCACCATCTTCCATCTGGACTATACTGACAGCCACATAGCTGGTCTCCAGGCTCCTACTTCCATGTCCCTATAATCCAGCCTCTTGTTTATTTTTTGGCTGTGCTTAATCCAGTCTCTTTTTAAAGTGTAAATCAGATCTCACTGCTCCTTACTGAGACCAGCAAAGCCCCACCCACTTGATCTGGCCTGCCTACCTCCATTCCTGCTATGACCCCATCTATCTCTACATTCCAGCTATACTGGCTGCTATCAAAGTTGTCCCATCAGATGGCCTTTGCATCTGACAGCCCTCTTCATGGGGTTTTCTGCCTGTCCCAGATCTCTGCACAGCTGACTCTTCATTTAAGTGCTGGCTTACATGTTTTAGAGAAGCTCACTTGATCACTCATTCTAAAGCCATTTCTTAAGCACATTCTTAACACATTATTCTGCTTTATTTGGTTATTACTTTTTCATAGTATTGGTCACTATTTGTTTTGTTGTCTGTAACTACTGTCTGCTCCACTGTACCTCAAACACACACTAGGTTGTAAACTCTGCTAGCCCTACACATTGCTAAACAACTGGGACTTAGGACAGTGCCTGGACACTGGAAAGCACTCAATAAATATTTTTTGAATGAATAAATGAATGATAGACGCAAGCCATTTACAAGCCACTTTTCACATTTATTAGCTTATGTAACTCTCACAAAGGGTTTCCTGGTGGCTCCACGGTAAAGAATTCGCCTGCTAATGCAAGAGATGCAGTTTCGATCCCTGGGTCAGGAAGATCCCCTGGAAAAGGAAATGGCAACCCACTCCAGTATTCCTGTCTGGAGAATCCCATGGACAGGAGCCTGGCAGGCTGTTATCCATGGGGTTACAAAAGAGTTAGACACGACTTAGTGACTAAACAACTCTCACAAGACTCAAAGGTTAAGAGGCTTGCTTCTGATCACAAAACTGAGACCATAGAACCAGAATTCAATCCCAGCTTGCTGTCTCCAAGCCCAATACTGTTTCACTCTTTTTAGATGCTGGGGACACAAGTATTCTGCCCTTTTGTCTCTTGACCTATACCTCCAAACCTTCTATCCCTGCCCCCATTTTGATCCCCACCAAAATCCAAGCCTTGGAGCCTTACGTGTCAATAATGTACTTGATGTTGTCATGCAGAGTGATGTCATCTCGGCCCTTGTAGGGTTGGATGTGGAAGGCCACCTGCCACAAACAGAAGGGATATTGGTTAGGTGAGTGTCTGTCCAGGGGCAAAACCTATGAAGTCTGTGCTCCAGCCATGGCCTGAAGAAGCAGAATTCAGGAGAGACCTGGCAGTGGTGGGGACAATGTAAACAAAAGCAATCACTGCCCTTCGGGCCCAAAAAAAGAGGAGTGAGAAGTCTCCCCACCTCCCACAGCAGAGCCTTAGGAATCATTCCGATGGGCTATTGCAGGCTAATAGATTTTAACTTAATGTGCCAGCTCCCAGTGATCGGCACTAGCTGCCTGAAACTATGGAAAGAAGTTTGATCTGGTTTGATCTTGCAGTCTAAGGGTCTGTCAAGAGTCTTCTCCAGCACCACAGTTTGAAAGCATCAATTCTTCGGCACTTAGCCTTCTTTATGGTCCAACACTCACATCCGTATATGACTACGGGAAAAATCATAGCTTTGACCATCCAGAACTTTGTCAGCAAAGTAATGTTTCTGCTTTTTAATATTCTGTCTAGGTTTGTCATAGCTTTTCTTCCAAGGAGCGAGCATGTTTTAATTTCATGGCTGCAGTCACCATCTGCAGTGATTTTGGAGCCCAAGAAAATAAAATACATCACTGTTTTCACTTTTTCCCCTTCTATTTGTCATGGAGTGATGGGATCAGATGCCATGATCTTAGTTTTTGGATAGTGAGGTTTAAGCCAGCTTTTCACTCTTCTCCTTCACTCTCATCAAGAGGCTCTTTACTTCCTCTTCACTTTCTGCCATTAGAGTGATATCATCTGTATATCTGAGGTTGTTGATATTTCTCCAGGCAAACTTGATCCCAGCTTGTGATTCACCCAGCCCCAGCATTTCACATGATGCACTCTGCATGAAGTTAAATAAGCAGGGTGACAATATACAGCCTTGACATACTCCTTTCCCAATTTGGAACCAGTGCATTGTTCCATGTATGCTTCTAACTGTTGCTTCCTGACCTGCATACAGGTTTCTCAATGTGACAGGTAAGGTGGTCTGGT